GACATTTTCAGTGAGTTATCCACTACAACTCCAAGATCTCTCTCTTGCTCAGTCTCTGCCAGTTCAGACCCCATCAATGTGTATTTATATTTAGGATTTTTGGCTCCAATGTGCATCACCTTGCACTTGGCCACATTGAACCCCATTTGCCATGTTGACGCCCACTCGCCCATCCTTGACAGATCCCTTTGGAGTGCCTCACAATCCTCACTGGTTTTCACCACCCTGAACAACTTCGTATCATCCGCAAATTTAGCCACTTCACTGCTTACTCCCAACTCCAAATCATTAATGAACAAGTTAAAAAGCAGTGGACCAAGTACTGATCCCTGCGGTACCCCACTGCTTACCTCCCTCCACTGAGAAAATTGCCCATTTATACTCACTCTCTGTTTTCTATTAATTAGCCAGTTTTTGATCCATAAAAGGACTTGTCCTTCTATCCCATGATTTTTGAGCTTACTTAGGAGCCTTTGATGTGGAACTTTATCAAAAGCTTTCTGGAAGTCAAGGTAAATAATATATATTGGATCCCCCTTGTTCACATGTTTGTTCACCCCCTCAAAGAACACTAACAGGTTAGTGAGACAAGATCTTCCCTTACAGAAACCGTGCTGAGTCTGCCTCAATAGGTTTTGTTCATCTATGTGCCTACTAATTCTTTCCTTAATAATGGTTTCCACCAATTTACCCGGTATCGACGTCAGACTGACTGGCCTGTAATTTCCCGGATCTCCTCTGGAACCCTTTTTAAAGATGGGAGTGACATTAGCTACCTTCCAATCCTCAGGAATGGAGGCAGATTTTAAGGAAAGATTACATATCTTTGTCAGGAGATCCACAAGTTCACATTTGAGTTCTTTCAGAACTCTCGGATGTATGCCATCTGGGCCTGGTGATTTATCAGTTTTTAAGTTGTCTATCAGTTTTAGGACCTCCTCTCTCATCACCTCAATCTGACTCAGGTCTTCCAACACCCCTCCTGAAATCAGTGGTTCTGGAGTGGGCAAGCACTTCTCATCTTCCACAGTGAAGACGGAGGCAAAAAATGCATTTAGCTTCTCAGCCATTTCCCTATCATCCTTCAATACTCCTTTTACCCCTTGGTCGTCCAAGGGCCCCACTGCCTCCCTGGCTGGTTTCCTGTTTCTAATGTATTTGAAGAAAGTTTTATTGTTGGTTTTTACGTTTTTTGCTATATGCTCCTCATATTCCCTTTTTGCCTGCCTGACCTCAGACTTGCATTTTATTTGCCATAGCCTGTGTTCCGTTTTATCAGCCTCACTGTGACTAGCTTTCCACTGCTTAAAGGAATTCTTTTTACTTTTTACAGCCTCCATTACTCTGTTTGTTAACCATGCAGGCTTTTTCCTATACCTGTTTGTGCCTTTCCTAACCTGCGGAATATATATTTTTTGAGCTTCTAGGATCGTAGTTTTAAATAGATCCCAAGCTTCCCCAATTGTTTTGACCCTTTCTACTTTTCCTTTCAGTTTCCTCCCCACGTGTCCCCTCATATCAGAGAAATTACCCCTTTTAAAGTTAAAAATGGTTGTGTGAGTCTTTTTGGCCAATTCTCTATTTGTACAAATGATGAACTCAACAACATTATGATCACTGTTTCCAAGCGGTGCAATCACTTTTACATCTCTCACCAGGTCTTGAGTGTTACTTAGGACCAAATCAAGGATCGCCTCTCCCCTGGTAGGTTCCGTGACCATCTGCTCCATAGCACAGTCATTTAGAGTGTCTAGAAACTCAATCTCTTTTTCCCGACTAGAACACATATTGACCCAATCAATGTGTGGGTAGTTAAAATCACCTATTATTACACAGTGTTTTTGTCTAGTTGCTATCTTTAAGGCATTCATCATTTTATAATCCTCCTCTATCTTTTGATCTGGTGGGCGATAACAAACTCCCAGTGTTAAGTTTCCTTTTGGCCCCCCTATTTCAACCCATAGAACTTCCAGAAGCGAATCCAATTCACTTAGCCTCTCAATCTTTCTAGACTTTATACCCTCTCTGACATACAGAGCTACCCCACCTCCAACCCTTCCCCCCCTATCCTTCCGATATAATATATAACCGGGAATCACTGTGTCCCACTGATTTTCCTCATCCCACCAAGTTTCAGAAATACCCACAATGTCTATTTTTCCCTCCGACACCAAGCACTCCAACTCCCCGATTTTACCTCGGACACTTCTAGCATTTGTATAGAAACAGCTGTAATTTCCCTTACAAGTTAAGCCTGCATCCTTCCTCTTGCTATCTCGAGTCGTTGTCCGGCAGTCCATGTCACCAGCCATGGCCTCTGTGGACAATTTCAATCCACCTCCCTGTAGAAAAGCAACCGGTACCCCCTCACCTCTCTCAGATGAGCCAACCCGAACCAGAGACTTTTCATCTCCTGTCGGCTTTCCCCCAATATTCAGTTTAAAAGCTGCTCTGCCACCTTTTTGATTTTAAGTGCCAGCAGCCTGGTTCCTTCTCGGGACAAGTGGAGACCGTCTCGCCTGTACAGCTCCCTCTTGTTCCAAAAAGTATCCCAGTGCCTAACAAACCTGAACCCTTCCCCCCTACACCATCGTCTCATCCACGCATTGAGACTCCTGATCTCTGCCTGTCTCTCCGGCCCTGCGCGTGGAACAGGTAACACTTCTGAGAAGGCTACCTTGGAGGTCCTGGACCTAAGTTTCCTGCCCAGCAGCCTAAATTTCTCCTCCAGGACCTCACGACTGCATTTCCCCACATCGTTGGTGCCGACATGCACCACGACCACTGGCTCCTCCCCAGCACTATCTACCAGCCTATCTAAAACACGCGTAATGTCCGCTACCTTCGCACCAGGCAGGCAAGTCACCATACGGTCAGTACGCGGGTTCGCCACCCAGCTGTCTACCTGCCTAAGGATCGAATCACCCACTACCAAGAGCCCCCCTCCCACCCTGCTCAGGGATGGTTCCTTGGTGCAAAAGGAGAGCCGCTCGCCTCTGGCAAGGTGCTTTCTTAAATACTGAATTACAGTCAATCCCAGCCAAACAATGCCCGTTCCTCTCCCGCTCTCAATCAGCCAGGACTCTGCAAGAACTCTAAGCGCTTCCACACACTGCTAAACACAGTTTTCCCACACAATATCCTCAGCTGAATCCTCTCAGCTGAAAGCAAGTAAAAAAAAAAAACCACTCACCCTCTAGCAGCTTTCTCCTGCTCCTGCTCAGAGCTCAGCTGAAAAGAGCCACTCCTCCCCCTAGTCCATGATTGGCAAAGGACCGAGTAACCTGGTGGGGCCAGTTAGATGAGAGCCACTGTCTCTCCCTCCCTTACCCAGGTCTCGGTCACGTATGCCAGGTCTGCCTGTTGTTCAGTCACAAAATCCCGAAGGATTGAGGTTTTGTTGTTAATGGACCTGGCATTGCACAGTACCAATGACAGAGGGGGGTTTCCATTCCTAGCCCCACTGCCAGCTACCATTGGGATGGGCCGTAGGCTGGAAGGGCGCTGAGCCATTTTATATCTCTGCGTCCTTCCCTTCCTATACTGCCTAGGCCCACCGCTAAACTTCCCCCTCCCCTAGAGCACCGGAATCTGCTGTTCAGACATCTTTGAATCACGTTGGCCGTCTCTGTTAGACTTCAGACCACCAATGCCAGAGACGACAGGAAAATCCTACTGCCCCTAAAGCAACAGACTAAGCTCACCGTTCCCTGCTAGCAATATATAAAGTGCTGTTATACAATTGACAATTCATCAAATTAGCAATTTCAGCTACCAAAAACAACTATAATAACTACAACTGCTGCGCTAGTGCCACTACATTATAACAGTTAAAAACCCTATCCCCAGTAGTTACAATCAAACAGCACAACCATCCAACATCCACACACTAGCAGTAAAAATCCTCATCCACCCCCACTCATCCTTTCACATACACTCACTATTGCCGGGCAGTATTAAATTTTTAAAAAATCCATCCTGTCAGCATGGAAGAGTTCGACCGCTTGCCACTAGAGAGCCGTGTTGTCTTCGGCTCCTCAGTTCTCCTCAGCCGCACTGCAAAGTCCCTGCAGGCTCTGACTCCCACAGTCCGTCTCAGGCAAGGCCTCCGGGTTAGGCGATTGTAGACTCCACCAGGACCGACGTCCCAGCCATCCCGGCAGACCCCGACCCTCAGCCGGCACCCATGCCGGCGCGTCACCACCCGCAGGTTCCCCGGGCCACCGCTCAGGTCCCAGATGGTCTCCAAAAGGGCAGGTGGCCCTCGTTGCGCTGTACCCGGTCCGCCAGTCACGAGCCACTGGCTCGTCTCCGCCGCCTACACTTGCTCCACTGTCGCCAAAACAGCACTGGGCCCCGCAGCGTCGGCCCCGCACGGATCTCACAGCTGAGGTAAGCCAGGCCCCGGGAATCCCCGTCCAGGTAGGGGCTGGAAGGGTCCAGTGCCATGCCACAATACCCCCAAGCAATGTAGGTGGTCCTGAGTCGTTCCAAAGGCAGAGGGGGGGGGCAGATGTTCAATAGGGCCTCCACGTTGCCCCGCCACTCCTCCCAACCACTCAGTCAGGCTCACCTCGTGCCGCCGGCCAGCCGGCTGCTTCTTCGGGTAGTTATCGCACCAGGGTGCGGCGCCTATGCATTGGGTGGTTAGGTGTAGGCCATGCCGAGGGCTATGCTGAGGGAGGAAAAAGCAGCGGCAATTTCTGCAACGCCAGCGTCTCCAGGCCACGCCGAATTTCCAACCTGGGGTCCACTCTAACATAGCTGGCAGAAAGTGGGAGACCCGGTGTTCTTTATCTCCCTAGAACTGCTGAAATTAAATTAAAATGGAAGAGCTCGAGCACCAGAGATCACAACCGGTCGCCATCTTGGATATTGGCTCGATCACCATTTTCTGAACGCCTATCTACTGACATGTCTCTCTTTAACAATTGGCTGCTTACTACAGGGCCTTCAATTCATTCAATTAAACAAAATCCACCTTTTCCCTTGCTTTCCAGAATCCTGCCTATTATGACCTGGAAGCGCAAGATCTGGCCATATGGCACGTTCCCAACAAAACCCCAATGAAACAATGGCGGGACACCTCTCTCTTGAGGTATCGCACTGAAACTGGGTTCTTAGCTGCAGAAGGAGGCAACCTCCTCAGGCTGTACCAGGTAATAATGGCTGCTTGGTGACTTGGCATTTCTGCCTGATGACTCTGCATTTGGAATTCAGGAAGTGAAGGCAGGCACTCCTGAGGCTTGTGGATCTTCCTCCCCTATTGTGAATGATGGGGACTTATATTCAACAAGTACTTGCCCAACTTGAATATTTTGTAAATGAATGGTAACTGAGGTATCACAAGATACTATTGTGCCCTCCTGACAAAAGAAGTAGGGTCATAAACAAAAATCAGTAATCACCTCTGGCCCTGACCTGGATTGTCCAGGCTAGCCCAGTCTTGTCAGACGTCAGAAGCTAAGCAGGGCTGGCCCTGGTTAGTATTTGAATGGGAAACTGCCAAGGAAGTCCAGGGTTGCTACACAGAGGCAGGCAATGGCAAGCCACCTCTATTCGTCCCTTGCCTTGAAGGCTCTACACAGGGTTGCCTTTCCACCACCAATCACCTCTCAGTTTGTTTCTCCTTTCAGAAATACCCGGTAAAATTTGGAATCGGCAGCTGTCCAGGTAACCATGGCCCAGCGGTGCCTGTCGTCTATGATAAAGGCAATGCTACGAAGACAGCTGAGTATTACTCTCCAAATGGGCAGAGTACGTATTTTTTATTTGCTCAGGCTCTACAGTCAATTTCCAAAAATCTGCATTCTGGCAAAACAAATCAGAACCAACTCAAGTGTTGTGTGTTTTTCTCCCTCCTAATCTATATATACTCATCCATGTATTCATAATAAGCCTAGTAGTGCAACTTCAAATGGGGGAGAAATTCTCTTGTAGCCTTCCCCCATCCCCACCCCAAGGTACAAAAAGAATGGCTGCTATCTTGCCCAGCCACCTTCCCAACAAATCCTGGTAACAACCCTAGCACAGTCTCCTCCAAGCCCCATTGGATGGCTGCCTCAGCCAAAAGGGAGGTGGGGGGGGACTAAGCCTCACAAGTAGATAACAAGACCTCTAGAGAAAAGTATGTGAGAAAAGGAAACTGGGTATTGTAAAGAGGATGTTCTTCCAGACTTTCCTAATCTCTATGATTTCTTCCTTATGTTGTCTCAGGTGAATTTGTATCTGGCTTCATTCATTTTCGAGTGTTCAATCGTGAGAAAGCAGTCATGGCTCTCTGTGCTGGGGTGAAAGTCACTGGATGCAACACAGAACATGTGAGTATCCTGGCTACAGGCTCTCGCCCTCTGCCAGGGATGATTTTAAAACCTCTTGTCAACAACAGCTATGCTCTGTAACACCTGTTAGTTGGACTCCAAATGGTCGGGCAGTCACCAAAACAATCTGAGGCCAAACCTCTGCTGCTCAACAGAAACATCTGAACATAAGAACATAAGAGGAGCCAATGGCCCATCCATTCCAATGCTCTGTGTCACACAGTGGCCAAACCCCAGGTGCCATCAGGAGGTCCACCAGCAGGGCCAGAACTCCAGAAGCCCTCCTACTGTTGCCCCCTCCCAAGCACCAAGAATACAGAGCATCACTGCCCCAGACATCGTGTTCCATCTATACCTTGTGGCTAATAGCCACTCATGGACCTCTGCTCCATATGTTTATCCAATCCCTTCTTGAAGCTGTCTATGCTTGTAATCGCTGCCATTTCCTGCAGCAGTGAATTCCACATTAATTATTCTTTGGATGAAGGACTTCCTTTTATCTGTTCTAACCTACTCTTCATTCATTCATTTCACTGAGTGCCCACAAGTTCTTGTATTGTGAGAAAAAAGTACTATCTAGTATTCAGTTTATTAATGCATTCTGAAACAACACACAACTTTTTAAAGTCAAATTAACACACTGGTGCTCTCTGCTACTGACCTAATATACCTCTAGTAGCTATTTTGTATGCATTTGCAATTAAAATTAAAATTTGCTGGATTTAAATTTGTCCCTCACTGCCCAGTTCTAATACCATCCTCTGTAGGGTTGCCAGCTGCTCCCAATTTGTGTCATTTGTTTTACACCAGTTTGGTGTAGTGGTTAAGTGCCCGGACTCTAATCTGGGAGAACCGGGTGTGATTCCCCACTCCTCCACTTGCACCTGCTGGATGACCTTGGACAAGCCGTAGTTCTGATAAGAGCTGTTCTTGAAAAAGTGCAGTTTCTGTCAAGAGCTCTCTCAGCCCCACCTACCTCACAGGTTGTCTGTTGTGGGGAGGGGAAGGGAAAGGCGTTTGTAAGCCCCTCTGAGACTCCTTTGGGTAGTGAAGGGGGGGGTATAAATCCAATCTCTTCTTCTTCTTCTTACATTTCCTTCCTGTCCTTAGCACTGCATTGGTGGAGGAGGCTATTTCGCAGAAGGGGATCCTCGCCAGTGTGGGGATTTCGCCTCCTTTGACTGGGATGGCTACGGGACACACACTCAGTGGAGCGTTTCTAAAGCGCTAACTGAATCAGCTGTACTGCTCTTTTACCGTTGATGGATGGCTTTGTAGAAACAGGAGTACCAGAGGTACAGCCTTGAGAATGAAAACCTAGCCTGTATGCATATATGCCATCAATGGAATAAAAAATAATAACTCAAAACTAAACTGAGCTGTTGTGGTTTGTTTTTCTGAGGATGCTTCCAGGTAAAGGATTTCAGCGGTCCTTGTTACACTAGAACAATAGGCCAGATATACACACTCACTACAGAGGCTGTGATGGTCCTAGCTCATTTCACTTAAGAACATCTCTCAAAGGTGCGTCTAGTCCAGCATCCAGTTCCCTACGGTGGACAGCCAGACTTCTCAAGTAGGAATGCCCATTTGGGAAAAAAGCTAATCAAAACCCAAAGCAACAGCCAGGGGCAGTCTTAGGCACAGGCCCGCTGCCCCAAGCTAGGGGGCCTGAGCAACAGGAAGACAGCTGCCCTGGCCACCCCTAACCACTCTAGAGGCTTCTCAGGCAGCCGCCATGGCAGCAAGAGAACAAGCCAGCCATCCAGGCCAACCACTGCGGCAGCAAGCAAGCAAACTGGCCACCCAGGTCAGCAGCTACAGCAAGCGAGTGAGTGAGCCAGCCAGTCATCTGGGCCAGCTGCTACTAGGGCTGCCAGTCTCCAGGTAGTACATCAACACAAGGAAACACTGTGATGAAATTGACAATAACATGTAATAATTCCTATGAACATTGAAAAGTACTCGAAACGTGAGTGATTCAGCAAGAGTACTTTATTAGTTCAGAACAAGACCAAAAAACCCCGGCACGCAGGCCGGTATATATGCCCCAGAAAACCCACCACCAAAACACACCCCCAAGTCCTCATAGGCTATTTGCAGTGGCCGAGAGTCCCATAGGCTCTCGGCCGCGGACCTGGCCCTCTGGTTGGTGCGGGCTAGGATCCGCTCTGCTATTGTTCTCCGGAACGAAGCTTTAGACTTGCGCTAGACCGCATGGCCCAACGGTCGCGCACGTGGTAATGGCGGATACATTACAAACATCAATAAAAACTTATGCAATGTAGCTCAGGAAACTCTAACCTGTTCAAGGAAAAGTCCAAAATCCTCTATGAGCACCCGGTTTTATACTCATTTCAACAATCTAAAACCAGGTGCTCATAGAGGATTTTGGACTTTTCCTTGAATATGTTAGACTTTCCTGAGCTGCATTGCATAAGTTTTTATTGATGTCCATAGGAATTATTACATGTTATTGTCAATTTCATCACAGTGTTTCCTTGTGTTTTTGTACTTCCTGTACTGTGATCCCTTCTTTGGTTTTCTCAGTCTCCAGGTAGTGGCTGAAAATCTCCTGGTATTACAACTGGTCTCTGGGTAGGATTGCCAGCTCTGGGTTGGGAGATACCTGGAGATTTTGGGAGTGGAGCCCAGGGAGGGGAGGGTTTGGGGAGGGGAGGGACCTCCGTTGTGTATAAGCACCATACAGTCCATCCTGCAAAGCAGGCGTTCAAGTTTCCTTTAGAATTACAGAAATAGAAATAAAATAGTTTCTTATTTACTTGGAGGTAGGCAGGAAAATCGGTTCATACTTGCCTGTTTCTAGAAGTCTTGTCTGTTTCAAGGGAAAATTGGAGGGTAAGGAATAGTTCTAGGGGTAGTTACTAATTCACACTGCTAGAATCAGCCAGCTAGTGTGGGGATCTCTTTGGCTGCACATCCCAAAGAGATCAGGTAAAGACAAAGAGTTTTAAAGCAGGAAAGGTGGGGGGGGGGGTAGTAGAATGTGGCCAACCAAAAGACTTGAAGCATGGTCTTTGCGTTGATGGTAAAATGTGGCTAGCCCAGGACCTAAAGCATGTTCTTTGCGTTTTATAGTTGAATCTCCAGGAGGGTGGCACCTTGCCAAACTGCAATCCCACCTACTTACAAGGTCCCATGACCTCCCTCATTGGTGCATGTAGAAAGGGGGCAGGTATTCTATGGGTGGGGCGATATTTGAAACTCTACATACTATCTCATGGAATACCATCTGGCCAGGTGTGAAGTCTCAGCTTCGGGACATCTCTTTGTTGTGCTGATGAATCTTGGCTTTACCAGGCTGACAAGATACCATCAACAGGAAACAGCAATTCAAATGCAGATTAGGTCCATGTGAAACATGACATCTAGTATCCTCAGCAATGGGGGAATTTCTCCTTCTTGGTTGTTGTTCTGCTCACAATGGCTAACATGTGCTTCTTCTTCCCATGATGTCCTGAGCTGAATGTGTGCAAGCTACATTAAGATAAAATGCAGGCAAGTGTTCCCTATGTGAAATCTCTCTCACACAGTAGGTGATGCAGACAGCTTCCTTTAGGCTCATGTGTGCACAGTCCATGTGTTGCATGTAGCAGATATAAAACCATAAATTAGTCCATTTCTCAACACTCGGAATCCCAGAGCAGCTTACAATCTCCTTCCTTTCCTCTCCCTGCAACAGACAGGCACGGAGGAGAAGCCCAGCGGCGGCGGCGGAGGAGACTTTTTAGATTTTTGTGCACTGAGTCCTGCCCTTCCTCAAACTCTTCCCTCCCCAGGCTCCACTCCTCAAGTCTCCAGGAATTTCCCAGCCTAGAGCTGGCAACCACCAGCTGTTAGGCCAGCAGCCTTGGTGATCCTTCTCTTCTTCCCTTTCCCCACTCTGTTGGGGGAGGGGCAAGAGGCGGAGCCCTTTCCAGGGATGTTTTTTCCTCCCAGTTGAGTTCACCCTTCCTAAGGCCTAGTGGATGTAAGAGGAGGAGGAAGACGAGGAAGAAGAGTTGGATTTATTCCCCACCCTTCACTCGGAATCCCAGAGCAACTTACAATCTCCTTCCTTTCCTCTCCCCGCAACAGACATCCTGTGTGGTAGGTGGGGCTGAGAGGGGTTTCCCCTGGTCCTGGGGGCTCCAACCCACCCTCTGCCAGCTGGCTGACGGGGGAAGCCCCACCCCCCAAGCTATGGCTACCCCTCTCCCAGCGAACGCAGCGAGTGGGGTGGCAGCATGTGGGCCTGAATCCCAAGCCCACCCCCGGAATGCCCCCCCCCAACCTCCCTGCCGGATTGACGAGGGGACTGGCAACCCTAGCTGAGAGAGCTCTGAGAGAACTGTGACTGACACAAGGTCACCCAGCTGGCTGCATGTGGAGGAGTGGGGAATCAAACCCAGCTCTCCAGATTAGAGTCCGCCGCTCTTAACCTCTACACCAAACTGGGAGGAGGAGAAATCAGTCTTTCGCATGCACATGATTGACAAATGATTGTTATAGCCATCACTGTGCCTCCAGAGGCCATTGCACAGAATTGCCGCACACATGGGAAACTGCAGCTGCTGACCACGGCTCGCCTGTGGGTTTCTAAGCTCATACTGTGGTTTGGTTCTATGCTACGGTTAGTGCAAAAACCTTAGCTTAGTATGAACTGAGCCACGTGCTGGATCAGTACTTAAATAATGAAGACAAGTCTTCTGTGAGAACATCCAGCCCTCTTGATGAGAGTTGTTGTGGAAATACAGACTGCAGGATCCTAAGTGGCGAGAGGATCATTCTTGTAATCTTGGGAGAGAAAGCAAGTCCAGCTGTGTTCACTGCCCTCCTGCCCTGTGTGTGTCAACAATTTCTGGCCCCTCTGAGCTCCCTGCTCTGATTTGTTTACCAGTGCTCCAAGGTCAATTTGGCTGTGGCAGAGACAGAGAGAGGGACAGACACAACCGATCAGGCCTTTCGTCCTCTTTAAGCCGTAGCACGGAGGAAGGTAAGCTGTTGATCAGGTATGCTGGGAATATTCCTCTATACCCCTATACCTCCCCCTGCTGTGCCATAGTTGTGCTGTATCAACGAAGCTGCAGGGTTTTCCCAAAATGGATGTTAGTCTCCCATGCACAGAACAGGTATTTGAGAAGGGATTCTTTGCCAAGGCTGATAATTTCAGATGCTTAGTTTTCAGCAGCACAATAAACCAGGAATTCAGTGGCACCTTAAAGACAAATCATGGAACCAATTAGTCTTTAAAATACCACTGGACTCCTGTTTTATCCTGTTAAGGCAGAGGAAACTATAGCTGCACACCAACATGATGCTCCTATCCAGTTGAAAGGGTAGTCTTGCCATTCACAAAGCAAACTCCTGCCTAGCTATTTGCAGGCCAGGGTCACCTCTGGTTTTTGCAGGTCATCGACAAAAGAGATCTTCCTCCTGAACGGGACACACGCTCTCCTCTCCAGGAGACTGTGGGGTGGGGGCAGCAGTGACTCCTGGCTGCTGTGGACTTGAATCACCCACTGCACGGAGGGATGAGTTCAGCATCACAGCAGTATAAGGAGAGAGAAGCCAGCAAGTGGGCCATCATCATGGCAAGGAAAGAGCTGGCAACAGAGCTGCAACTAAAGCCAGGCAACATAAGACCCGTTTTCCTGCTGGCAGGGACGTGGGTTCTCAGTGGCCGTAGCACAAGGAATGGCAAGGCAAATAGAGGTTTGCTCTTTCTGGTCCTGCACCCCGTGGGTATTTGTCAGGAGGTGGAAAAGCCCATTGGAAACAGCCAGCAGCCATCACTAGATGGGGGTTTAGTGGTGGGGGTAGAGCAGTGACAAGAATGCATGCCAATCGCACGTTACCCCTGCCAGTGTGTGGCCTCAGTAGTTTCCCAGTGATGCTGACCTTTCCTACCAAGCCTATGTGTTTCCTTCCAGCATTTGGAAAGCTGGCAGGAGTTTTTGTCAAGTTTTGAATATTCTCTGAGCTTCTTCCTGTCCCACCCACCCCCCGATATTTTCAGAGGTCAGTTGTATATTTTTTTCAAAACTTTGAAGACCCTTCTGCTTTTTCAAATAGAGTAAAGAAACATTGCTGGGGAGGAGGGTGGTATGCACAGGCTTATACCCTGGAATAAAGCCTGCAACTATCTCTGTTAAGACCACAGCTTTGCAAACTTAAGTGCTGGATCCTCATCTTTGTTCTCCTCAGTTTGTCACTGAATTCATATTAACCATCGTGAATAATCGCGCCAAAGAGTTTAAAATGTTAAATTCTGTCAAGTGAAAATCAGTTTTTCAATACTTTTCAATTAGGACATGCAGAAGGTTCAAAGTGTATAAACCTGAGCTTGCTAAGCAAGTGGCCTGCGTATCTCTTTATGTGTGAGCATTTCAGCGTGGGCAGAGAAGTTCTTACATAACAGATCTTGGCTTTTACAGCTCAGGAAAATGAGGAAATTCATGGTCATCCTGCTGTGTGTGATTGTGTTCCCAAAAGGCCAACGGTGTGGTAAGTGTGCATGTGCTCTTTTGGGAAAAAACAGTTGTTAGATTTGCAGTAATTCTACACACCTGGACATATATACAGACCTCAATCTTGTTCCCCTTTAAAATGAGGTGGTATTTGACAGCTGCATGGGATCTGAGGAAGGAGACCAAATTCATGGGCTCTTTTGCCCAAATCCAAACTGGATGTGTGGTTAGGCTTGTCAACTCAGGGATGGAAAATATCTTGAGATTTTGGGGGTAGAACCTGAGGATGGCAGGGTTTGGAGAGGGACATAAATGTAATGAGCTATAATACCGTAGAGTCCACCCTCCAAAAAAGGCATTTTCTCCAGGGGAACCAATCTCTGATGTCAGGAGATCAGTTGTAATTCTCGGAGATCTCCGGGTCCATTTTGAGAATGGCAACCCTCTTTATGGTTAACTTTGTGTTTGTAATGGTACCATCAATCAACTAGCCACTTCTCAGTCACGAGGATGACTTTATTAAAAGATGTGTCACTAACCTTGCTGCGTGAGCGATCCCGTTCTACGGGGTTTAGCGGAGCCACCAGACGTCACCGAGTGATAAAGCGATCATCCGAAAAAGTTGAAAAAGAAAAGATCGGTCAACTGTGAGTTGTCAAAATGCAAAGAAAAAGATCTAAAACCGCTTCCCCCCCCACCCAGCGAAAAAGGCGAGGAGGTTAACCCTCTAACTGTATAAGCGAAAAAGAAAAGGAGGGGGGGAATGGACTGAGCGAACAGTGATGTTTTCCCTTGATGTATTTGAAATAAAGCGAGAGAAAGTTTTGTCTCTCTGGAGCACAATTTAAGAACTTTCTAAAAGTAAACAAAAAAGAAAAGATGTCGGAGCTGGGCAAAAACGAGCGGAGAGAAGGGAGGGACTTCCGTCTGGGCGTTTGCTTGTGTGTGAGAGCCGGCTGTTTAGTGTTTTGGACTGTTTATGGTTGTGAATCCGATGGGAGTTTTGTAAAATGGAAAAGTTTGAACTGTGACAGCGAGGAGTGCCTGGCAAGCGCTTATATACGTCCAGTTTCGAGGAGGACCCAATAGAGAGTTTGGGAGCGGAAATAAAAGCGAAATGAAATTAATACCATTCTCAAAGTTGGGGACCTCCAAGGCATGAAAGGAAGAGGATTTATAGTGCATGAACTGAGTGTGTTAACAGCAACCCGAAGGAGGATTTAACAAGCCGGAAGTAGAAGACAACAGAGGAAGCCCCTTCACGTCAGCGATAGTAAAGGTGCCCAGCACGCAAAGAAGCGGTTCTGACTCAAGGGAACATTAACAGAAATTCAAGGGAACATTACTAACATATTAACAGAGAATTATATGTGACTGAACTAAGAAAAGAAGTTTGACAACACACAGAAGAAGCCCAAGAAGATTAATTGGACATTACTAACAGTTTAATTTACCAGTTTATATATCACTCAGCTTTCTCTTTCTCCCGCTGTCTACCCTTCCCTTTTTTTTCTTTTAAGCGAAATACCTCCCCTTTTTAGGGGAGCTAATAAAATCTTTATAAAAAAAAAAAAGAAAAGAAAGAGGCCTAGGTGCCATGTTACTTCAGAAAGGAAGAAGAAGAAAAGAGATTAGATTTATACCCCACCCTTCACTTGGAGTCTCCTTTCCCTTTCTCTCCTCACAACAGACACCCTGTGAGGTAGGTAGGGCTGAGAGAGCTCTTTCAAGAACTGCTCTTGAGAGAATGTGTGACTGACCCAAGTCACCCAGCAGCTGCATGCGGAGGAGTGGGGAATCAAACCTGGTTCTACAGATTAGTCTGCTTCTCTTAACCACTACACCAAACTGGCTCTCTGGAAGCGATGGGGAGCTTCTCCCTGTTGTATTTATTTTGTTAGACTTTTATCTCACCCTCCCCTGCACACAGGGCTCAGGGTGACTTACAATAATTAAAACACAGGTCAATTAGTTAAAATAATAAAACCCTCTATCAATTATACAACAGTAATAAGTAGAAAGTTATTGCCCCAGGAACAAGCCTTTTGCACCCGTGAGAAAGGTTTGGCCTTTGTTTGGGCCCTTTAACAAGCCAAATTCATCATATGCATTAAAGTCATTGTTGAAACTGACCACAATCCCTTGTCTTTCATTTGTCAGATGAAGGGAAATAATGCCTGGATTCTGAGGTGGGCCCTGAGCCCTGCAGGATTTCGGCTTCGAGATTGTTCATATTAAGGGCAGTCAGAACACTGTGGCTGCCACAGTCTGTCCTGCCAGGGGCCAGGGGGTACGGAGTAAATCTCTGAGAGGGGTTTTCAGTAGTTCCTGCTTAATGTGTATGTTGTTCTGCTTTTCCTTTTCTTCATGCTGCTATAATAACCATAATCCACTTTAGAGGAATGTGAAAATTGCAGTCACTTTGTCTAGGTATAGAAGCTTCATCCATGGCATTACCTGGCAACCAGTGTTCCCTCTAAGCTGAGTTAGTGTGAGCTAGCTCACAGTTTTTTAGCCTCTGGCTCACACATTTTTGTCTTAGCTCAGGGAGGACAGCTCCAGAGCAAACTAATTGATGCAGTAGCCAAATTGCTCACTCACAACTTTAATGTCAGTAGCTCACAAAAGTAGAATTTCTGCTCACAAGACTCCACAGCTTGGAGGGAACATTGCTGGCAACCCTGATATCTCTGAAACCTCTTCCTTTGTTTGTATCATCAGCTCTCTAAGCACTCGGCAGCCTTTCTGACAGAGACCAACTGATAGTTTCTGTGATTGGCAGCTTTTGTTATCTTTGCTACAGGAAACAAAAATAGGCAACTTTACCACATACTGACTCTAGATGAAATGCAAGACAAGCCAACCAGTTGCTGGGTAGGAACAGGACGTGCTCAACACGTGCGCTAGTTTTTACCAACTGTTGTACACTGATGGATAATGTCCCCAGAACCTCCCTAGCAATAAACTTTGTGTAGGCAAGACTTGCTATAATGTATTTCTTCTTCTGTGGTAGTAGACCTAGACTGAACATATGTAATTAAAGACAAACAGCAATAAGTATACTTGCATAGTTTATTCCAGAGGGGACATCTTACTTTGGTATTGTCCTGTATTTGGTCAGATATTCCCAAGAGTGGAGCCAGGCACGTTCTGTTCCGGGCCTAATTACCTCAGGTCTCGGAACCCTCTTGAGCAATTGAGAACAAAGGGATCAACCTCAAATCCTCTTGCTTGGCCAGGAAGTGTTCAGAGCCCCTCAAGCTCTTGGCCAACCACCATGGTAGCTCCCTCTGCCAATCACAGGCCACACCCTCATCCTGACACAGCAGCAGAACACAAAAGAAATTCCTCTCAGGATAACTGAAGTTTTAGAACACCTGAGCATTTTTGAAAGTAGAGCAAAAAAGACAGAGGGAAGAGACGTGCCACCCCAACCCAAGTAGATTTTATTATAAGCCATTTTCATTGCTGTTATTGCAACCAATAAAGCAGGGAAAGGAGTAGCGGGATCCTGGAGAGACCAGCCTACGCAGGGCCGGCTCACTCACTAGGTGAACTAGGCAATCGCCTAGAGCGGGACGGCCCTTAGGGGCACCAAACTGCACCTGGCCCCATACTCTGGGAGTTTCTTGATTATTTGTGTTTTTCATTCTTCCTAAAATGCATTTATTTTTGGAAATTGGTGGGCGCACGGGGAGGCGGACGCCAGAAGGGATCCCCGCCTAGGGTGCAAAATAAGCTGGGGCCGGCCCTGGTCCTAATCGTACTTAGGACTGCACTATGAGACGGACAAAACCTTGTCCTTCGGTCTGCTCGGTTCTGTTTCTGGGCTGGGGACAATCGTGCACATTGCCCACAACTCTTCTGGCTCAAGGCCGCAGCTAAAATCGGGTCTCTTGGACTTAAACCTAGTCCTGAGTGGATACTGCAGCAGCTTTTGGAATGACCCTAGAAGTGTTCCTGAAACAGGCCCTAAGGAAGTTTCACACCCCAGTGGAGTTCTATTCATTTCTGTCCTCTGATTGTTTTTTTTAATAGGCTTATCCTGGCTGCTTTTAAAAGAACTTCCTGCCATCAAGTTGCAGCTGACTTATGGAGACCCTGTGGGGTTTCCAAGGCAACAGGCATGAAGAGGTGGTTGGCCATTGCCTGCCTCTCCACAGCAACCCTAGACTTCCTGAGTGGTCTCCCATCCAAATAGCAACCAGGGCCAAGCCCGCTTAGCTCACAAGATCTGGTAAGACAGGACCAGCCTGGGCTACACCTGGCTCTATTTTAGTTTTATCGCATTTTCCCCCTCTCTTTTGTTGCTTTTTTATCTTGTTTTCTTTTTCTCATGTTTGATTTTGAAAGAATTCTTATTGTTATAAGCCCCACTGCAGATATTTATATGCAGAGTTGGACTCACCCCAACCAATACATATTCAGGGCTATTTTTGGGCAGGAACGCACAGGAACGGAGTTCCAGCTGGCTCCTGAGTTGGCCACACCCAGCAGGAACTCATTAGCATAATAGGCCACACCCAACAGCAGAAACTCATTAGGATTGGCTACAGTAGGCGTGTGTGGCCTAACATGCAAAGGAGTCCCTGCTACAAAAAAAGGCCCTGGGTTTTGACAACAAACAAGATAAACAGAATAACAGGCAAAAGGCGGGTGTGGCTGGATGACCACACTTCTGGTAACATGGGGGTGCAGCCTAATGTGGTAATGAGCTGTGCTGTCAGGGGTGTGGCCCAATAGGCTAATGAGTTCCTGCTGTTGGGTGTGGCCTATTATGCTAATGAGTTCCTGCTGG